CACAGGCAGCCTTGATAGGAGGAGCTAAGAAAATTAATACAAAAACAAACTCATCTCTTCATCAAGAACCTTAACTTGGTGAGAAAGTTCTTCCAAAGAAAGGATTCTAAACAAAGGGCCAATGTCTCCCAACCAGGCAGATCTGCTACTTTGAAGTTATGCTTAAGAATTATTTTGTCAAACTTTTTCAAGTTCTGAGAGTGTGGCACAACATGCGTAATGTAACTGGTCTCCTAGCTGCTGGCAAAGCATCTGGTGACGTGAACATTTGGCTTCTGCAAGGCCACTTCTCACTGTCTTCATATTCTACAAATAGGTCCTCTTTTAAAACAAACAAACACAAACCCAGTAAACTAAGGCAGCAGCATCTGGCCAAAATAGGGCTCTATTCTCGCCCCTCCCTCTGCAGTCTGAGCAGGCACGGTGCATGGCTGGAGGCCCTGACAGCATAGCTTTGAAAAACCCAGACCATCCCTTGATTTACTGACCCCAATTCACACCTACTCCCACCTCGGGGTCTCTCATATTATAAATTTGATGGAATCTAGAGGGGCGACTCCCCTGCAGGTTGGACATCTAGAGTAGGTTAAATATTTCTGCAGGGGAGGGGCAAAGTCAACTGTAAATAAATCAGTGCTACTCAGGCCCCTGTCAGCTGCTTTCACTGAAGATGCAGAAGGTAAAACCCACAGCTTTAAACCAGGGTCCTCATCACCTGAGCACCTAGAAATGGGGTAGACACTAAATTACACTAAAAAGGGCTATTTAAGAAAGAGCTAAAGAAAAATATAGAATATGTATTTCCCAGTTGCATATCCAGATTTATGCTTTTTATACTTATGTTCTTTCCCAAATTGAGAGGCCAGCACTTTGACCATTTTATCCTAAATTAAAAGACACCTACTTCAAAACTGCAAAATTTCATGCATTATTTTTCGCCTAATTCATATTCTCATGACAGAGAATGAAAATTCCAACCATTTATTCTTGTTAAATGTTTCTTAGAGCTTTAGATAAGAGTGCAGAATAAAGTCCCACTGTCTGCACACTTTCTGGCTGGGTCATGACCATCCCACCTGTATGAATTCTCCTGCAGAGGAACAGATGTGATGTTCTTTGTCTCAAGCTTGTACCATATGCTTGGAATACTGGAAATGTTTCAGCCCAAAGGAGGCTCAATGGCTCTCATGAAACCCCACAGACAATTCAAAACCATCTACAGGTAGAAGACCTGGGTTCTCACTTGTTTACACAACTTGCCAATTATATGACCTCAGACAAGTCATCAGGCACTGTGAGTCTCATTATGTCAGCTTTATAAATGAGAAAGAATTGATCACTTTCCTCACCTTCCCAACAGATATGGTCAAATAAAATAATGGCTGTCACATCAGCGTGTGAGTGAGCCTTGGAGAGCTTGAGTCCTGGGGTCCCGATCTTCTGCCCTCCCTCCCTTTACAGGAAGTTATACTTCTATGCATGTTAAGTGACAGGAAATAAACACAGGTAATGTGCTCTAAGAATTACAAGAAGGAAAGATTACTTCCTGCTTAGGGGGCCTGGGAAAACCTCACAGAGGAAGGGGTATATGAGCAGGCCACAGCAATTTGGATACGAAGTGGGCAATTAAAGGCAATGGTGACCAACAGTCACAAAGGCACAGAGAAGAAAAAGCATGGCGTGTCCACAGGAAGAACAAAGCTGTGTTGCCAGAAATATAGAACTCCCCGCAAGGGAGCAGAAGGAAGTAACCTAGAGAGGGAGACTGGGTGCAGGCTGTGGGGAGACCCGCGGTCAGACTGAGTTTAGACGCCAATGCCATCCTCACCGACGACCCTCACGCGCCCACAGTCTCTATCTGGATAAACTACACCATATATCTTAGTTATCCTAAACGCCAGTTCAAAGAGTCAGTTCTCCAAGATAGTGCTCAAATTTATCCTCCTTTAAGTCTCCTTAAGTCTCAAGTCTTCCTGAAATAGTCTCTTACCTCCGGTCTTACCACTGCAATTGATCCATTCTCCACAGTGATGCCAGAATGATCCAACGCAATCTCACCACATTACCGCCCTGTTGAAATGTTTCAGCGATTTCTAGTACCCACAGACAATACTCCTAACCTTCCATAAGACACAAGGGCTTTTGTGATCTGGGCCCTCTCATGCTCTGCTCATGCTCTGCTCTCCCTCACAAGCCTCCTTTACTCCTACCACACCGACCTCCCTGAAGTTCCTTAAACCACCATGATCTCTTGTCCACGTGCTCCTCTGAATTTGCTGTTCCTATTGGATAGCACCTAACTTTCCGTTCCTCTGACTAGGTAATACCTATCCTTCTCTTTTAGCGCTCAGATCATCATTAAACATTGTTCTAGAAGTACCAGCCAATGCAATTTGATGTTTTTCAAAAAAGCTTTAAACATCGGAAAATGGAAGCAAAATGAGCACTTGTAGGTACAACTGCATGTCTAGAAAACATAAGAGAATCAACTAAAAAAAAAACAACAATTGTAGAATTTAGTTAAGAGTAGTTCACAATTTATGTACAAAGGCCAATAACATATCTTTATAAAAATGGTAGCCATTTATTAACTATAATGTCAGAAAGTATTCCTTTATAAGAGTGTAAGAAAGATATAATATCTATGAAAAACCTATCAGGACTTGTGAAGGACCTATGAAAGGAAAAGTTTAAAGTTCTAGTAGAAAGACAACTCTTGCTTCCAGATAGCAAGATCCATTGCAACGTAAACTCCCAGAAGGCCTGGATCATTCTCTACTTTGTTCACTGACAGATCCATTTCAAGTATCAAGAACACTGCCTGGGCCGGCCGAGTGGTGCGTTGGTTAAGAGCTGGCTTGGGACGCCAGAGGGCCCCGGTTCGGATCCCACATATGAGGGCCAGTGACACTGCCCTCCA